CCCTTAATGGACTTTTGCTGATCAGGACTGAATGATGAGGCTTTAAGGATTTGTTTATAGACAAGAGATGGGATATGGGAAGTAGAGATCATTTGTTATATTTTAAGAGAAGGTAATAAGTTACTAAGATTGTTTATACTTGTGATGAAAGGGGAAGTCATTTCTTTATATATTTTTCTTTTGCTTTACTATACTATTTTTCTTTTTCTTTTTTCTTTTCTGCACTATTTTCTTTTTATTCTTTTCTTTTTATCTTTTTAACTGTAATTTTTAATAAAATTACTATTAAAAAAGATTAGAGTTTGACAAATTCATGAGGGATACTTTGACCTATTGTCGATAACACTAAGTGGAAATTTTAAGTATACTTCCAACTACCAGATTGGTAGCAGTAAGGGGTCACTGCTATCTTTATGCCCATTTTTTAAAGATGTTTTGGGGTCATCTGGCTGGCCAGTGTATTGGAAACGGAAAATTACACTAGGTAAACTTTAGTCTAACCTCCTAGGTTTCTTACATTATACAAAACGAAATACCCACAAAATCTAATGCAAGAATGAATTTAGTAATAAAAGTTATTCAATATTAAATGCCCCTCATCCAATGAATAGAGCCTTTCTTTTGAAAGGTGTAAGTTACCGATAGGCAGGCAAGCAGGTTAGATGGATTTGGAGCAGAAAATGACCCCTAGATAGACTTCTGTCTTAAAGTAATTTGCAATGTCTTAGTTTCAGGATTGTGGTCAATTTATTACTAGATAATAAATTTACTGGAAATCTTATGGGAAGCCTTTCAAATATCTGTGTAAGTCAAATGCACTCAGTAACATTTGCGAACTTGAAAGCACTAAAGTGTATCAGCAGACAAGCTTTTGAAATGTAACAAACAGCCATTGTGCTTGTTTCAGGATTAAGAAACATCTTGTTATTTCTTTTCTCAGAACATACCATTTGAAAAGGGTCCAAGTCTGCTTTTTTCTATTATTTTTGAATAAAGCATATATATATATATAAAGATTTTTGAAGACTCTGTTTCAGTTTTGCATATGATCACTAATATATAGGTTATGGTGCGTTTCTATAATTTCCATTGAAATTTCAAACAAAAGTTGATAATCATATCTCTGGGAAAGCAGAGGCTGGTAAGATACAGCTTTTACTGGAATGGGTCAAACCAATACTCAAACCCTTCTAAGACTTCTATATTTCCTTGCTTGTCAGTCATATCTGTTATTTTGACCCTGTCAGAAATGGGCTCTTTTATTTTCTTCACTGAGGATAGGAATACTAACTTGTCTGGTCCCAGAAGAAACTAATGGTCTCATGGTATTTTTAGTGCTCTTCATTATTCAATAAATTAAAACTATGAAAGTTGGGAGATACCTAAGGCCAAATTTAGCCCTTCAAAACATACCTGCCTCTTCCCTTACAATTGTCCTGTAAGTGTTTGGAATACTATCCCAGAGACATTTGGATTAATTTATAATTTCCTAGTTCCATCTTGCAGTATCATCATTTGCCTCTTTGTCCATGCCTCACTTCTACTTTTAACACCATGTTGTTTTTAGCTCTATATCTCATTATGCAGTTCTTTTCTACTTGATCATCAAGTCCTGAAGCAGAACTGGTTTCTTCAGGCTTTCTAAGTTGGAAGGCAGGAACACTCTGCTTTAATTAAATTCCTAAGCCAGAGAATACAACACCACTAGTTTTATTACACAACAAAGAAACCTAGCAAAACTGAAGGAACAAGCCCATAAGAATCTATTCTCACTCCCCTTGACCTTTCATTATCACTACTCCATAATCTAGCAGCTAGATTGCTTTTAGAGAAGATACTAATCAAATGACAGGACTAAAGTTAGTTTCAAAAAGAATACTTATGAGTCCCTCTGTGCTGAGAAAGTAGAGCAATCCCTTAAGTTGCTGGCCTGTGGAGGAAGACGATTGATAAATATCCAACTTTTCCCTCTACTTTATTGCCATACTAAGCTTTCCTCATCACTGTTCTTGGCACAACTAAAAGTTGCTATAATTATTCCACAGAAACATATGACAACAATAAATCCGCGGATTGTTGATCTGCTGTTTTCTAAGTCACCCAGTAATTTTTATTCTGAAAACAACTCGCAAGATATTGCAACAGTTTAAGATGGCCCCAACCCTTTAGGCTTTTCGGAAGGCCTTGAAGACCTGGCTTTATGCCCAGGCCTGGGGCCCCGAGCACGTGAAGGGCCCTGTTTCATGGTTGTGCTGATACCGACAGTTTTTAAAGATCTCTTGGCTGCATTTATATTATATTTAATTTTTTGTGCGGTTTTAAATGTTGACTGTTTTTATTGTTGTTAGCTGCCCAGAATCACTGGTCTGAGATGGGCGGCTATATAAATCGAATAAATAAATAAATAACATCAGATGATACCACAAGTGTATGATTTTAGCCAGTCCTATAATGCTCCAATTTTCAAAAAAGAGAAGTTTAGAGGAAAATTCCTAGTTACATATAGGAAATGTGTACCATGCAAGCAACCTATCTGGTATCTCTTCCATGGTCACAATGAATATTTCCATGCTTTCCGTAATCAATTCTGTACCCTTAATTTCTCCTGAAGTCTTAATTTTACCCCAGTCCTGGTTCAAAGTTTTGACCACTGGGGCCCGGATGGAATACACCTATATAAATTTAATTAATACACTTGCTTGTTATTTGGAGCACAGGATACAATGAACCCTTAGCAGTCTATTTTATGTACACTATTTATTGATTTACTAGAGCTAATATACTGCTCAAAACCAGAAGGATGCTGGTGACCTGCATTCCATTCTTTCAGTAAAAGGATTAAAATAGTAAAATAATATAACAAAAGAGCAAAGCAAATAAAATTATTAAAAATCATTGTTCCTCAGTGGCCATAAACACAGTCCAGGGTGGGGATTCCCAACTTATACCAGATCATTGCTTTTATGGCCTGTGTAAAACTTAACAGGCTGTCATTTTCTGCAATAAAATATAAAGGGGAAAGGGAAAGGAAGAGTTAAGAATTTCTCATCCCACAACTACGTACTGTATTTCAATTATTTATTTAAAGTAATTCTTTATCCCTATGTAGTGCAATTCCCAGCATGACTGTATTCCTGCACTTAAAAAGAATCATTTTGAAAAATGATAAGGTTAGCTTTAACCAAATATTACTTCTTTCCTGGGCCAGCTCACCCCAAAATTAATTGCTGATGCCCTTGAGGTGTACTTCCTGGTGTTTCTCCTCGTAATACTGGAGTTTCTCTGGGTCTAGGAGAAAACTCTATGGGATAAAACAGCCAGATTTGTCTCTCCCCGCTCTTCAGCAAAACTGCCGATTTGGGGGGGGGGGGAGGCGGGGATGATTTTATATAAAGCAAGAAAGGGTACACAGAACGCTTTTACAACAAAACTTTTTGTTCCCAATTAAGCTGAGTTGCGTCAACAAAGGACCGTAATTATCGGGTTGGGAGGGCCTCGGGGAAAAAACTAAGCAGGGTCGGACCTAATACATACGTAGAAGGACCCCACAGGACATCGTCAGCTAAACTGTTGCCAAGAAAAATACAGGAAGTCGCCGGAAGCTAAGCTCTAAGGTAAAGGAAACTTTACCTGGGGCTCATCGCAGCGCCATCCTATGCAC